ATATATATATATATATATATATATAACTTAATTAGCAAAGGAGGACCAGAAAAAACCTGAACTTTCTGCAAGAATTACTTTCTCTGCAATATATAATTATGAAACTTTGACGTCTGTCTGACAGTAGTTAATGTTGCTGGAAATAGATAATGTTTATTTTGATGTGTCTTTTTTTTACGTGTTTTTCTATTTGCAAACCGCTTTCAAATGCCATCTCAGGGTGTGTTCATAGGAGAAATGGGAAGAAAGTGGATGCATAAATTTGAAGGTATTTGAAATTAATTGTTGTTTTTTTAAGTGAATTTAAAAGTAAATGATAGTGGATTTGGAAATAAAATTTATGAGATTTGTAGGATTTAATTGATGTAATAGATAAAAAAGATTGTTTAATTCGTAGAAATTGAAGATTACTAAAATGTTTATAGTTATTAATGTAATATAAAATGATAATTGTTAATGTTATATTTAATTATAAAAAAGTTTATAAAGAATAAAAGATTAACATTAATTATTAAAATTAATTTTAATATTATACAAAAAAATTATTTTAGTAAAATGAAATTATTTTTAATTGTACTATTTTTGTAATATTATTTATCATGAAGCAGTATGATTTTATTTATTATCGAAGTAGTATGATTTTATTTGTTATCGAAGTGAAATTGAATATTTTTAAAGAAAGTAATAATTAAAGAAAATTAGTATATTACATGAGATAAAATAAGTCTTCTAAGTTCACGTATACATATTTCGTTATGATAAACAAATTAAAACAAATTCACATATATAATTTTGTATAAGTCTTCTTGATATATAGAGTTCATAAACATGAAAAAAAATAAAATAAATATATACATTTCAAGAGACTCACAATTAACAAAAAAAATAAATAAAAATACAATCATAAATTTAAATTTCACATTAAATAAATATGAAAAATGTTTCACATTAAATAAATATGGAAAAACTAAACATTAATAAAATTCATAGATTTATTAAGTTAAAGTTTTGAATTAGAATGATGTATAAATAAAGGAAAAAAAAGAAAATCATAGTAACCTAGACCTAATATTCTGAAATGGTCGCTTGGAGGACCTTCATGGACAGTAGCTCTAGGTCGAAGAGATGCAACAACAGCAAGCGAAAGTGCAGCCAACGCCCAACTCCCTTCTCCGTTCTTCGACCTTCCCACACTCACCAGCGCCTTCGCCGCCAAAGGCTTGAGCGCGTGTGACCTCATTGTGCTCTCCGGCGGCCACAACATAGGTCAAGCACAGTGCCAGTTTTTCAGAGCTCGCATCTACAACGGAAGCAACATCGACATCAGCTTCGTCGCGTCAAGAAGAAGCATTTGCCCTTCCTCCGGTGGGGACACCAACTTGTCTCCTTTGGACTCCCTCACTCCCATTCGTTTCGACAACAAATACTTCTCCGAGCTGGTGGCTGGCCTTGGCCTTCTCATCTCAGATCAAGTGCTCTTCGATGGTGGCTCTTAAGACCCTTTGGTCAGAATCTACAGCGAGAATAATGCTGCATTTTTTGGTGATTTTGGTGAAGCCATGATCAAGATGGGTCATATCACCGAATATAAGGAACCCAATGCCACTACATGGTAATCGAATACATCTCCTTCGTGAAAGTAATCTCAGGCCTAGAACCGAATATCACTCTATGTGAACCGAATACAGCGTCTTTGTGAATTCTTCGTAGGAGTGGAACCGAATACCACTCTATTGGAACCGAATACGCCTCGGTCAATGCACTTTTCATCATCTTCTTTTGCTTCATTATGTATATTACACTCGTATACACTGATGGAATTTTATAATACATTGAGGGCACATTTGACTTTTTACTAATCATCCCTCCAAATCTCCCCTCTTTCGCGGGTAAAACCCCACAAATCCGTCTTCATGATTCGTTACTTTTTCTCTCAAACGAACACAGAATGCCCTGCATTTCATTGCTTGCAAATCTACATGAACAGTACAATATGTTCATGTGAATATAGCGTTAAGGAAGACGATGGACCAGTTCCAATACAGTTCAACATATGTGCCCAAACTTAATCTCCATATATAAAGATTTCATTATTTTCCAAAAGGAGAATTTAAAAACAAGCAAAATAATATTAATGACTTGTTATATGTAAATATGTTAATATATGTACACTTTTTGTGTTGCTGATAGAAAATTAATATGTACACTCTTTGTGTTGCTGATAGAAAATTTAATTAATGAATAATGTTATAAAAATAATGGTTAACAAATTAAAAAAATGTTTTTTTAAATAGTTAATTCAAAACTTTAACGTTTGAATTTTATAAAATATGCTATCTGATATGAAATTTAAGATTGATAAGTGTGAAAAAGAGTTATTTTTACACTTATAAATGATCTCAATCTTCTAATTATTCATGTTATTACTCAGTGAAATGTTGTAATAGGAAGTAGATTGTTTGTAAATTATTGTACAGGAAATGATGTATAATTGGGAGTCTGTAAGCTCCTGAAAACAAGTCTAAAATTATCTATGAATTATTAATTCCTTCATTAATTTCATCAGAAATTTTGCATTAAGTTTTAGAGATGTTAGAATGACCAAAGCACAGAGTATTCCTAGCGTAATTAATTTTAGTTCTTTTCTTAACGTTTCTGTTCTAAAAATCTTTCAAGTATAAAAGAATTTTAAAGAGGACTAATACTCCGTATAATCAAAAGCAAGTCAAGAAAAGAACCTGAACAAAAACATATATGCACAGGAATGTCATCAAATGTGTCGTCATGACACACCAATTCAAATGAAACAAAAAAATTAGCTAATCTCGACATCCAAAGTCTCTTTACAACAATTCCTTTGCATAAAGTGAAGTCTTGATGTCTTGACAGATCTCCTGATCGTCTCCTGAATTCTCCAGTCTTTCTCTAGCTATTTTCGTGTGTCAGAATATCCTTTTTGCCTTTCTGTCACGTCTTTTAAAACCAATAACTTCATTAATTCGCACAGCGCACAGATGTGTGTGCGCTATGTGAATTTCGTGTAACCGCTGCCTCTCAACTGATGTTTTTCGCACAGCGCACAAGTAATGGTGCGTTATGCGAATTTCCATTTCCTGGCAGTGCGAGCTTTGGCTGCGCTATGCGAGAATTA